GGGGTCCTCGCTGGCCGGCCGGGCTGCCCTCAGCGCTGCCTGCGCGCAAGCGGGCCTGATGGAAGGAGTGTTCTTGTTAGTTCAGGGCAGTGGGAAGAAGAGAGGTGTAAACATTTTTTATACATCTTCAAGTCGAATTTAAAATGTTATTTTAGCAATTACTTAATAAAATGGTATTTAAATTTTATATATTTAAAATAGCACTAGCCCTAACCGGTTTGGCTCAGTGGATAGAGCGTCGGCCCTGCCGACTCAAGGGTCCCAGGTTCGATTCCGATTCCGGTCAAGGGCATGTGCCTTGGTTGCAGGCACCCTCCCAGTAGGGGGTGTGCAGGAGGCAGCTGATCCATGTTTCTAACTCTCTATCCCTCTCCCTTCCTCTCTGTAAAAAAATCAATAAAATATATAATAAAATAAAATGGCACTTAAATTTTTTCCACAGAAGTAATTTTTATTACTATTTGTATAATATTTTAAAGTGTTTTTATTTCAGAGAGGAAGGATAGAGAGATAGAGAGAGAGAGAGACATCAATGATGAGAGAATCATTGATTGATTGGCTGCCTCTTCCAGCCCCCCCCTTCCTCCTCCCCACACACTGGAGATGGAGCTGCAACCTGGGCATGTGCCCTGACTGGGAATCCAATGGTGACCTCCTGGTTCATAGGTCAAGGCTCAAACACTGAGCAACACCAGTTGGGCTGGAGACATTTTGGTAATAGCAATTAAGACTGATGTGAAGTGGTCTGTGCACTCCCCACTGCTGTGCATTCAGTGAATCCCAAGGAACAGCCCAGGGAACCAAGGACTCTGGAAGACGGGTGACCTCTTCCAGCACCATGGTTTGTTTGTTTGTTTCTATTTATTTATTGGCTCGTTTTATTTTTATTTTTAAAAATATATTTTATTGATTTTTTTATAGAGAGGAAGGGAGAGGGATAGAGAGAAACATCGATCAGCTGCCTCCTGCACACCCCCTACTGGGGATGTGCCCACAACCAAGGTACATGCCCTTGACTGGAATCGAACCTGGGCCCCTTCAGTTCGCAGGCCGATGCTCTATCCACTGAGCCAAACCAGTTAGGGCTAGGCTCGCTTTATTTTTAAAAAATCTTTATTGTTGAAAGTATTACATATGTCCCTTTTTACCCCCATTAGCCCCCTCCAGCCCGCCTCCACCCCAGGACTTCACCACCCTATTGTCTATGTCCATGGTAAAGGTTCATTTAAAAAATATATATTTTTATTGATTTCAGAGAGGAAGGGAGAGGGAGAGAGAGATAGAAACATCAGTGATGAGAGAGAATCATTGATTGGCTGCCTCCTGCCCACCCCTACTGGGGGTTGAGGCTGTAACCCAGGCATGTGCCCTGACCAGGAATCAAACCTGACCTCCTGGTTCATAGGTTGATGCTCAACTACTGAGCCATATTGATTGGACCCAATCACTATTTTTGAAAGAGGATTTCAGCCTTAAAAAGGAAGGAAATTTTGACATGCTACAATATGGATGAACCTGGAAGACCTTGTGCTAAGTGAAATAAGCCAGTCACAAAAGGACATGTGTTGTATTATTCCATTCATAGGAGGTCCCTAGAGGAGTTAGAGTCATGATGGGCGCCAGGGGCTGGGGAGGAGGATGGGGACTTAGTGTTTAATGGGGACAGAGTTTTAGTTTGGGGAGATGACAAAGTTCTAGAGATGGATAGTGGTGATGGTTGCAAAACATTGTGAATGAATGTGCTTAATGCCACTTAAAAATGGTTAAAATGGTAAATATATGTTATATATATTTTATTACCAAAAGGAAGAAAAGAAAGGAAGGAAGAATTGCAGTTTGCTCAGTGAGCCAGGAAGCTTGGACAAGAATATTTGTAGGTCACAGCAATACTGTATATATCCCAAGCTGGATTCCATCCTATGGATTCTCAGTCATTTCACCCCCATTTAAAAAAATATATATTTTATTGATTTTTTTACAGAGAGAAAGGGAGAGGGATAGAGAGTTAGAAACATCAATGAGAGAGAAACATCGATCAACTGCCTCCTGCACACTCCCTACTGGGTATGTGCCCGCAACCAAGGTACATACCCTTGACCGGAATCGAACCTGGGACCCTTGACTCCGCAGGCTGATGCTCTATCCACTGAGCCAAACCGGTTAGGGCTCACCCCCATTTATCTGCAGTAGAAGGGATACCTAAAAATGTTTCAGCCAACAGAATACTATACAGGAATGCAAGAGCAGAAATTACAACTGCTCACAGCAATGTAGCTGTCTCATAGACCTCATATGCAACAAAGGAGGAAGGACTAAATTCCTTTTCATTCTAGAAGTCAGGATCCGACACCTGTGGTGGGGATGAGAGGGCATCTAGGTGGTGGTCACATGGAGGGGGTTGATTTGAAACAGGTCATTGAGTTGGGCAACCTATTCTGTTTGCTTTTCTCTGTGGACTATATTCCATATTATTTCTTGATCTGGGCTACAGTGATACCTGAGTTATAATTATTCTTTAAGCTGTAAATAACTATATGTGTCGGTTTCCCACTTCCCTGTAGACTTATTATATTTCACAATTTAAAAATGAAAATGCAAGCAACAAAAAGGATTACAGCAAGTAGTCTTACTCCTACCTGCTCCCCATCTTCCCCTTTCCCATCTGAGCACTCCTCAACTTGTTTTAGTTTCTTATGTATCCTAGAGAGTTGCTATATACATTATTTACAGTGTTAATTATTTCATAAGAACAGAAAAGTACAGTGACATGTCATTATCTCAGGTTTAATAAATACAGGGTGGTACAAAATACAGAAGTAGATTTACAGTTGTTTGTATGGAGAACAATACAAGAATCTATAATAATAAAAGCATAATATGCTAATTAGACTGGACCTCCTTCCAGACAAAGCTGGGGCTGCGAGGGAAGCCCGGGCCCTGGGTGCCAGAGGGAAGCTGGTGCTGGCAGCCGGGGGAAGGAAGCCCTACTCCACGAATTTTGTGCATCGGGCCTCTAGTTAATAAATAATAATGCAAGAGCCCTGGCCAGTGTGCTCAGTGGTTAGAGCGTCCGCCCGCACACCAAAGGGTTTTCGGGTTCAATTCCTGGTCAAAGGCAGGTATCTGGGTTGTGGTTGGCTCCCTGCCCTTGGTCAGGATGGGTTGATGTGTCTCACATTGGTCTCTGTCTCTCTGTTTTTCTCTGTCTTCCTCCTTCCCTGTCTTCCATTCTCTCTGAAAAGCAATGGAAAAATAAATTAATTGATTAATAATAATACAAGAAAAAACTCTCTTTTGTGTATTCACAACTGTAAACCTACTTTCATCCTACCCTGTGTTTACACTTTGACTTGATTACTTTAGACCATTTTTAAAAAATTTCTTTTTTATAAAACTTGACCCCTCCTATGAAAGCCTCCAATGACAATAATACCTCCATCTACAAATGCCACCCATTTCCCTCGCCGCCCTTTTAAGGATTAACAATTATTTTGAAATTAGTTTACTCTTCCAGGACCAGCCTTTATGCATTCACTACTCATCTGGAGTCTGTGGAAACAATGTACAATCTATATTTTTAAACAGTGCACATAAATGGTATCCTGAAGGTATTAATTTGCAACTTTTCTCTCTTATACTTTCCAGATGTTTCCATGTGGATCCCTGTAGGTTTATTGTACATGTTATGTAGCTGTGTTTTTCACATTGTGAGTCATGGGGCCCACTATTGATTCAGGAAATCAACGAGGCAGGTTACAACCAGCACTTATTTATTTCTAAGTTTAAAATTAAGGGAAGAATAATTTATAAACATTTTTAATTAAAAAAAAATTTTAATTGTGACAAAATACACATAAAACTTACCACTGTAACCACTTTTAAGCATATTACTCAGTGGCATTAAGCACATTCACATCATTGTGTAATCACCACCACTATCCATCTCCAGGACTTTGTCATCTTTTTTTATTTAATTTAAATTCTTTATTGTTTAAAGTATTACATACTAGTATGTCTCCATTGACCTCTCCCCGGCCACTCCCACCCCC